GGCCTTACCTGACGAATCTGCTCCATCTGATGGTCCTATTACTGAATCTTTTTCATCAGATATCATTACTACTGCTAAACCTCCTCGCCAATTTGATCGGGTAAGAAAACCTCCTAGTTATTTACGCGATTTTTAGTGTTTCTCTACTATCATGTCTCATCATGAGCCTCAATCCTATCGCGAGGCTAGTTCTAACCCCCTTTGGTAGCAAACTATGGCAGAAGAATTACAGGCTCTCGCACAAGCTCAGACCTGGGACATGGTTACTCTTCCCTCTGACAAAACTGTTGTTTGTTGTAAATGGGTTTACAAAATCAAAACTCGTTCTGATGGTTCTATGGAACGCTACAAAGCTCGTCTTGTTGCAAAGGGCTTCACCCAAGAATATGGCATTGATTACGAGGAAAAATTTGCCCCTGTTGCTCGACTTACTTCTGTCCGTAGCCTACTGGCTGTTGCAGCAGCCCGGAATGGACATTGTTTCAAATGGATGTGAAAAATGCATTTCTCAATGGCGATCTCAATGAAGAAGTATATATGAAACCCCCTCCAGGATATGACCACTCTCCACACCAAGTCTGTAAACTCCGTCGAGCACTATATGGTCTTAAACAAGCTCCAAGGGCGTGGTTTGCAAAATTCAGTACTACAATTGGAGATTTTGGATTTACTTCAAGCTCATATGATTCCAGTCTTTTCATCCGCAAGACTGACTCTGGTATTACTCTTTTTTTACTTTATGTTGATGACATGATAATCACTGGAAATGATCTTGCAGGTATCTCTGCACTCAAAAATTTTCTTAGTCATCACTTTGATGTGAAGGATCTTAGGCGCCTCAGTTATTTCCTAGGCTTGGAGATTCTCTCTGATTCAGATAGCTATTATCTCTTCCAAGCCAAATATTGCTCTGACATTCTTGCTCGCGCTGGACTCACAGATTGCAAGACAGCTCCCACTCCCATTGAAACCAATGTCAAGCTCACTCCTCTAGATGGTACACTCCTCAGTGATGCTACATTGTATCGACAGTTGGTTGGCAGTTTGGTATATCTTACTGTTACTCGACCTGACATCGCTTATGCCGTGCATCTTGTCAGCAAGTTCCTATCTGCACCTAGATCTACCCACTATATTGCTGTACTACGCATCCTTCGATACATTAAAGGGACTATGTTTCAGGGCCTTCACTTTTCTTCTCAATCTTTACTTGAGTTACGTGCCTACTCTGATATTGATTGGGCAGGTGATCCGACTGATCGACGTTCCACTATTGGCTACTGCTTCTTCTTTGGGAACTCTCTCATTTCTTGGCGCAGCAAAAAACAATCTGTTGTCTCCCGGTCCAGTACAGAGGCCGAATATCGTACCCTTGCTGATTTCACACAAGAACTTATTTGGCTTCGATAGCTCTTAACAGATATGGATATTTCTCACTCCACTGGCACAGTTCTCTATTGTGATAATCGGAGTGCTATTTACATTGCTCATAATGATGTCTTCCATGAACGCACCAAACATATTAAAATTGATTGTCATATTGTGCGTCAACATGTTGCTCGAGGTACTGTCCGATTTTATTCTGTAACTTCCGCTGATCAGACTGCTGACATTTTTACCAAAGCTCATCCGCCAGGCAGATTTCGGGAATTAGTTTCCAAACTCAAGTTAGTTTCTGCTCTACCACCTTGAGTTTGAGGGGGAATATTAACATAATTAGATTATAGCTATTGTATAGATTATTACCATAGTTAGATTATACTATAGCCGTTGTATAGATTAATGCCTTGATTATTGTATAGCCGTTGGTGATCTCTCACCTATTTATACCTTTCCTTGTACATGATTCAAACTTCACTTCAATATACAGAATCTTACAATTTCATAAATGTCTGTCTCTCTATCTCTTTTATTTAACAGAAACAATTTTGTCATCTGCTGTTACACTCTAAAATTTTTTGTTAGATAAAACTATCAGTATCAGTGTAGCTGATTAGAGTGAGAGATTGTTGGATTTGTGAAGATAGCCGACAGGTTTGATGGAGGTTTTAGCCACGTTACTTGTAGTCACAAGATAGGTACAACGTGTTCCCCACTTCTGTGCTCTCTTATTTGAAAAATGTGGTTGGTGAAGAAGATTAAGCATTGGTTGTCAATTTTTTTTTGGTTAAAATGTTGGCCATGGTTAATTTAGTCACCAAATTGGTGCAATCTTGTCTCAACTTGATCCATCTTTTCAAAAAGTAGGTGAGATGCTACCCCTTTGATTTGTCATGCCACCTGCCCTTTTTTTATTTGTTTTTGATCCTTTCATTGATCTTGATTGTTTTCTTTTATCAGAAAATTAAAGCAATTTTTATATATATTAATAAAATGTCACTCACACTTGTCAACTAAAACGAGTAGCTCAATTGTGCAATATCCACCGTTGGATTGCTTTTAAATTCTCGTATTGTTGAAATCAAACGGCCATAAACTGTTGACATGAATTACCAACATACAAAGTTTTTTCCTAGATGTGGCAAATATTGGATCACAGCTATATCCCATGCTCATTGGATGGTCCATTTGAGTGGAACACTTTACTCATATGGTGGTATTATCCAATTCCTTTCCCAATCTACATTGTCTCTCCTTCAGCAATTTATATATATATATATATATATATATATATATAAATATTTTCTTATAATGGTTGAAGTTAATTAAGAAGTCCAAACTGATTGGATTAGGAAAACTTTTCATCAATTTTTTGGAGCTTAAAAGTGGCACTAGTAGCAACCATGGGATTCACTAAATGTAACGAAAGTCACGATTGTTATTAACATTTTTTGAACGATTATTCTTCAATAACGGTCACGTCTTAGAGACAAGCACATTATTTGTAGTCAAGAGGGAATCATCATGGTGGGACAAATTATCATGAGAGAGCGACAAAGGGTCAAGTGAATTACAAGAAATTATTAAAAAAAATTATGATTTTTGAGGAGAAGAAAAGTAATTGCTTTTTAGATTTAAGTAACTCCAAATGAAGGAAAGAAATCGCAATGTTACATCCAACATCATGTATAGAATGGCCCCACTCACCCACTAATATTGATACCGCACCATAAAACATATGAGCCCTAAATTACTTCATAAACTTTTAAGGTTGGTGTAGTTATGAAGTAATATTTTCTTTCAGTTTTTTTTTTATTTTATTATTATTATTTTTTTCGCACTTTTCTTCTAGAGATAAAGTTATACAAAGTGTTAGTGCTAAATAAATTCTTTGGTGACCGCAAAAGTTAAGTCTATGACTCAATAACAGTTTATTTCAGTAACTTATTTTCTCCAGTGGGGTTCAAGTAATTAATTTACATTTATAGCTAAAATATTATAAGTGGGGTCCACAAATTGTTTTCCACTAGACACTGTTAGGCAAGATCATGAAAATAGACGAATTGTTTAGCGTGAGATGGTTGTTTCTATCCTTCTAGAATTAATCAAGTTTGTTCTTTAATTTGTTAGGCCTTAAGTCCCCCACTTGCGAGAGTTTATGCCACTCGTAAGACTGTTCGCAAAAGCTGCACGTAATAGTTGTCATGGGCCTTAAGTTTTGTGCGCAGCGAGATAGCTCGTGTGACATCTCTTGTAAGATTCAGTCTACACGATTTTTACATTAAGATTATATGTTAATTGATTATGGCCTGTGTTGGCCCTCATTAAGGGAACAGTTCTAGTTTCCGACCAATATGGCCTCATGTTATCATATGAAACCTGTACGCTCCTTCTCTGTAACAATTCCAGTCAAGTACTTCCGCCTACCAACAAACATGAGTGTCGTTCTTGCACCCCACTGTCGTACAAGGCTTTGCCCTTGTAACAAACTGCCCCACCCAACCTTGTGACGGGTTTAGTAGAGTATCTATAAGTATTTCATCACACATTCACAGTCCACACGGATTTAATAAGCTAACCCGATTTAGACCATAAACTTAACCCGATTTAGATCAAGTCACATTTTAATTAACAAATTTAAACTGACTAGCATATTAAATTTATTTCTACTCGAGTAATATAGAATTATAGATGTGGCACTCTCATGATAAATTTCGCTTAAATTATAAAAGTGGTTTGAAAAGGCATATACAATTTGCTTGTGCTACTTATTTTGTATTAAGAAAAACCTTTACATTGATTGGTTAAGCCATAACTACTCTGGTTGCTTAATTCCAAAACTAATTCAACAAAACAAACATATTATAAGTTCTCCAAAATTGATCCTTAACCTAATTGAAAGACCACGCAATTGTCAACTAGTAAAGTGTTATTGACTTTTCCACCCTTAAATGCTCATCATATCTCAAAAATTTCCAGACCAAAATCGCCATGCTTACGTTTCCAAGTACGAATTTTAGATTAATCTATAAAATGTGATTCTATTTGTGAGAGATAATGTTATTTTGATTTCAGTTTATGTTATTTTCTTTACATCGAGATCTGTCATCTTCCTCGCATCAAAAGATCGAAATTGTCAAATTATTGAATTATAAATCAAACTTGCACCAGTTTATAAAAACACACAAAAAAAAAAAAAAAAAAAAAAAAAAAACGATTATTTGATTCCAATCATTTCGTTTCTAACCGTTCAAATTATTATTATTATTATTATTTTTGCTTCAGATCCAAAATAGAAGAGTTGAGTAATTAAAAATTGCAAAGGTTGGAAATTTTTTAAATAAAAATTAATATTTGTGAACAAGACAGTCTCTACTCTAAATCATTTTCCTAATTAAAAGTGAATAAAATGCTCAAGAAAATGTGTGTGAGAGAGGGGGGCTCTCATTTTCCTAGTAAAAGTGAATAAAATGGTCTAGAAAGTGTGTGTGTGTGAGAGAGAGAGAGAGAGAGGGGGAGGCCGGCTAATGTCAAGTGATCAGGTTGGTGCAGGTGGGCCCTGTGTAGGGTGCAACCAGACGGTTGGTGAGAGTGAAAAGCACCATATATACCACCTCACACCATTGGACCACATTGTCACCCCCAAACCTCTTCTTCTTCCTTCAACTTTTCTTTTTTCAAACCAAAAGCAAACTAAAATCAATATATCAAAATGGGTTCAACCAGCGAATCAGAGGAGTTGGAGGCTTGCATGTTCGCCATGCAACTGGCTAGTGCTTCTGTACTGCCCATGGTCCTGAAATCGGCCATAGAGCTCGACCTTCTTGAGACCATGGCTAAGGCCGGTCCAGGTGCATATGTGTCTCCTAAGGAGCTTGCGGCTCAGCTCCCGACCAAGAACCCCGATGCACCGGTCATGCTAGACCGGATTCTCCGACTTCTTGCGAGCTACTCTGTTCTCAATTGTACTGTCCATGACCTGCCCGACGGTCGTGTTGAGAGGCTCTACGGTCTCGCGCCGGTTTGCAAGTTCTTGACCAGAAACGCTGATGGTGTGTCCATGGCACCTCTTGTGCTCATGAATCAAGATAAAGTCCTCATGGAGAGCTGGTATGTCATTCTCTCTCTCTCTCTCTCTGAGTTATTTTATATATGGTTGTTGGTAATATCGGTCTGGTCGCGAGAGTAACGAATTTTGACAAAATCAAATTTAATCAAGATTTTTGTTACTCTGATTTTAGTGGGTAAACATGGCTATGTCCAGAAGGGAATGTAAGTCTTTCATATTACATGGCTAATATATAGACCATTGTAGGGACTCACCACATACTATGATATGGTATGACTTGAAATGAATAAAGAAAAATAAATTAACCACAAGGGCAAATATGTAAGTTTACACACACGAAAGGATATAAAATTGTGACAGTAGCGGTGGGATAACTAATGAATAAAATAATCGTTATTATGAAGAGTAGGTATATTACTAGTTAGAGCTGATTAATTTCATTATCTGTTCCTAACTTTTCAAAATGATGCGTAATTTTTTGTGTTTAAAATTTTTGTTGAATGTGCCATGCGTCATTGACTGTCAGCCTTTTTCCACATTTAATTCAATATGAGGTTAGCTCACTTTTTTATTTATAAATATATATTAATATGAGACATTTTGAGTAGTGTAGCTTGTGACTATTTTGCAAAAAAATTGAACTAGTGATATATATATATATATATATTTATTTATTTATTTATTTTTCAAATTTATTGTCATATGTACACATTGTCTTACATTTTGAAAATTATGTAGAGATAGAGATAGAGAGATAATTCAACCCTACTTTATTCTCCGCGTGAAATGGGATTGGTGGTTTTTTAAGGGGTACACAGTGTCAAGATGGTCCAACTGACTTATTATTGTTAATTTCTGTCACATATTGTTAAGACCCACCACTGACTTCACCTACCACCAATTCTTGGTTTTTTTGTCGCTTTAGATTTTGAGCTAATTTTAATATTAATTGCTAATATATTATTAAAACAAAATATATTATTTAATTGCTGCATAAATCGCATCCCAATATAAATGTACTTTTATATTTTCTCCTGTACACAATGTGTGGTTGTTGTCTCGACTCATAAACTTGTAGTACTAGAAAACAGAGATTACACAGATCGACACACATATATAAACATATATACAAATGTACATATGATACATGTGGGTGGACTAAGGATATAGCAACATTGGTTATCTATTGCCTATGCACACGTATATATGTTAACCTAAAAAACAAAAACAAAACAAAAAACAAAAAATACCCATACAAGTCACATGATATGACAGCCTGGGTAGTTGAAGATTCGGTCTGAACACAATACCCATATGAGAACAAGAACAAAAACAAGAATTTGAATTTGAATTTAAATTTGAAAACGAACAACTATTTTGTGTAAAAGATATTAATAAATTATGCTTTTAATAATGTCTTTTAAATTATATTCTCTACATTACATTTTAAATTTTTTTTTTAAATCCAACTTTTTAAAATGATAATTTTAATGTTTTATTTTTATTTTTATTTTATCATATTGGCATTAGTCAAATTTATTCTGGTGGTAATGGTGACGTGATGATTTTATTGTTATAAGTTGGATGCAAAAAGTTAAATTGACAATGTTATTAATGCATTGACTTTTTAATAGAAAAAACTATTTTGCAACAGCTAAAAATAAAAAGGTGGACACGGCAACATGAGAAAGTATAATAGCAAGTCTTTTATCCTCTGGTCATTGAATATTTGTATTTAGTTATCTCTTATTTTATAGTTGACAAAAAAGCATCAATAAATTGAAATTAAACAACTTCAATGTGATGGAGTGATGGGAATATGATATGGAAGTTGATGAACCACAAAGATTGACATAGCTCTGTTGTTTTTGACTGTAGGTATTACTTGAAAGAGGCAGTTCTTGACGGAGGAATTCCATTTAACAAGGCCTATGGAATGACAGCATTCGATTACCACGGCACGGATCCGAGATTCAACAAGGTTTTCAACCAGGGGATGTCTAATCACTCCACCATTACCATGAAAAAACTCCTAGAGACTTACGATGGATTCAAGGGCCTCAAGTCTATCGTTGATGTCGGTGGTGGCACCGGTGCCACCATGAACATGATCGTCTCCAAGTACCCAACCATCAAGGGCATTAACTTTGATTTGCCTCATGTCATCGAAGATGCTCCATCTTATCCCGGTACTCTTAAATATTTTACCATAACATTGCTTTAAAATATTATATATGCATACATTATGGTTTCCAGTATTAGTCACATTCGCGATATCGATTGCGATCGCGGTGTAACAGACTCGAACAAAGTCAGCGTAAATTGGCTGATACGAGTCGCGAATCGGACTTAAAAAATAGTCGCATATCGACAGATATACATATCGGACGATACGGCGAACCGTGACATATATATATATATATATATATATATATTGATGTTTATGCCTTTGTTTGGTCTAAATGCAGGTGTGAAACATGTGGGAGGAGATATGTTTGTTAGCGTACCAAAAGGGGATGCTATTTTTATGAAGGTGAGTTTGATTTCTTAGCAGTCTTTAGTGTACAAATGCATGTATATGACGTGACATAGGGTGTGACACTAAAATGTACCCCTATGTTATTAAGCTTCTCACTTCAAAACTCAAAAAACTTTGTTTGGTTGCTGAGAAAAACAGAATTAGGCGGTTAATGTGCTTATGTTTGTGCTGCTGCAGTGGATATGTCATGATTGGAGTGACGAGCACTGCCTAAAGTTTTTAAAGAAATGCTACGAAGCACTTCCCGACAACGGGAAAGTGATCTTAGCTGAATGCATTCTTCCCGTTGCTCCAGACTCCAGGCTCACTACTAAGAATGTGATCCATATCGATGTGATAATGTTAGCTCATAACCCTGGCGGAAAAGAGAGGACTGAGAAAGAATTCGAGGAATTGGCAAGGGGAGCTGGTTTTGAAGGTTTCCGCGTAATGTGCTCTGCTTACAACACTTATGTCATAGAATTTTTGAAAAAGATTTGAGTGTGTGGGGTTGGGTGTGGATGTGGTGAGTGGTTGTGGGTTTTGTGCTTGTGATAATCTCTGTTCCAAAGTTTGATTTACATTATATGTAACTCTTCACTCGTACACGAGAATAAGAAAAACAAATAAATCCAATCTACATATACCAAATAAAAAAATTTGTTTGCTTAATTTTCTTGGAATGTAGGATAAAAATCCTCACACTATGTAGTGAGATTCCATTTTCTCATTTATTAATGTCGAATCTTAGCAACAAAAAGGGAATAATCCCATTCGTGAAAATGAGGCTTTAGGCTGAAACTTGAAAGTGGAAGGATTCAGACATATATGTATATATAAATATATAATGATGGCCACATATGAGTGCATATAACTTGGTGCCATAAGCACACTTCATGTTGGAAGCAGTGTCTATCCAAATCATGGCCTATATATATCTATATATAATATTGTCGGAAGCACTACAAATGATTACTGTACAATGTAAGTTGGTGTTGGTGGCCAATTTGCAATGCTAGCAAAGGGTGATTATTTGGAGTTGGGATTCAGTGATGGTGTTGTCCAGCTGTGTTTCAATCATCTGTACAACACCTATGTTGTAACTTGTCCAGATGAGGATTCTGGTGCAACTAGACTAAAAATGTTAACCATGTTTGATTAAAAAAATATATAATTGGTGCTTTTGATAATTGGTGCCGTTGCAAAGGCTGTCCAAATTTACAAAACCCAAAGTTTAGTCCGTTGCAAAGGCTGTCCAAATTTATATAATTGGTGCTTTTGATAGAGTCTAGAGAGAAACAATTTCTTCTTGAAGGGCCAAGACTACATAATTGCTTTACTTGGGCCAATTGGGCCTGAGCTACCTATTGAAAAATATAATTTGCTGGGAAAAAGCCCCAAGCAAACAGTTTCCTACTCTCACCTACCTATAATTGGTGCTTCTTGTAGAGGGAAGCAATTTCTTCTTGATGGCCCAAAATCACATTCTTGCTTTGTTTGGGCTTATTGGGCCAAAACTACCAAATGAAAATCTAATGGGCTAAAAAAAAAGGCCCAAGCAAACAGTTTCCTACTTTTACCTAGCATCAAGCTCTCACAAAGGACAATGAGAAAGGAAGGAAATGTAGGGGAGAGAATATTATATGTCCTTGTTGACAATAAGAAAATGATAAGTAATACGAAAATTCAATAAATATGACATCAACTCCCACTCCCATAAATATAATTAAATACTGTATTCGAAAGATGCATCATCCACTCTTTACCATATGGTTGAGTAGCAGACAGATGAGAAAGGTAGGTAAGGGCTTTGAATTGCCTTTTGTAGGAAAAGGCTTTTGACTTTTGGAAGAAAAGTATAATTGAAAAAGGTCATCAATTGCTGCAGTCCTCGACTCCTCGTCTTAGTCCATCTTCCAAAAGAGCAGGTGAAATGATATTCAATTTAATACATATGTCTATATCTATATCTATCTATATATACTAAAAATATACACGTTGCAATGCACGCAATAAAATAGAAAAGCATTATTATGAGATATTTTATTTTTAAATAATTATGATATATAACACTCAAAATTTAGTTAAAAAAATGAAACTCTCTTTATCTCTTCAAAAAAAAAAACATATGATTTGATGATCATCTAAATTTAATTTATATAAAAAATAATAATTGATCAAATAATTATCAGTAATAAGCAATTCTTTTAAAAATATAATTTATAAGTAGGTCAAATTTATAAAATTATAAAGTTAAGTATACAGTTTCGTGTGTGTGTGTGTGTGTGTTTGTGTAAGGCATACATGTGATTGTCATACACAAATGCAAGTAACCTAAGAGTAGAATAAAAAGTAAAAACAAGAACAAAATATTAACAAAATGCATGAATTTTCACCTCTAATTGATTCATTTGGAAAGTTAAAGATCTCATGCAGCACTACTCTCCAAACTAAACTCAAGATTAAATTTTTATAAAAAAAAAAATTGAACAGGAGAGGGAAAAAAAATTAAAAGAAGTCAAGTGAAATGTATGGTATTGGTGTAAGAAAAATAAAATTTAACAAAAAGTAATATATATATATATATATATATATATATATTGCAACAATTGTGAAAGTAATCATGGTTATATTTTTCATATATTCCTATACTACCTATGTCCTAAAATAAATGGGCACTTTTGAGGAAGCTCACAAAAAGTAACATCTAATTTAAAAAAGATTTTTAAAAGGCACAAACTTCTTTATATAAAAAGAGATGTGATGATTCACAATGGATAATTTATTTATTATTAATACCAATTAAAAAGGGATTTGAGAAGATACAACCCTTAAATAATAGTAAGTATTAAACTATTAAGAAATAACAATTGTACTTAAAAATATTAATTAACAAGAGATTTTTAAAAGTCATAACTCTTCGGCATTAAGATATTTTGAAAACACAATATTCTTAGATGGCAGTTAATACCCAATTATTGGTGACTTTTAGAACATGAAAAGTCAGGTAAATAATTTTTTATATTAAAATAATTGCTTAAAATTGTAAATATAACATGTCAATTCAGAAGGATGATAATTGATAATAATTAGAAATAGATTTAAAAAGACAACTGTTAATATATATTGCATATCCTCAAACATCACAAACTCACCATATAAAATTCTAATGACACATGACAAACAGATTTCATCATTAATGACATTAGAGGAGAAATGGAATAAAGAATATATATAAATATTCTACATATATATTGACATAAAACACACCTTCTAAAAAATAAGGCTTTCAGTCATTGATGCTCATGAACCAAATATGACTCTCCAATTTCAAAGTTGTCCTTGGAAAAATATAATAATAATAAAAATTTCAAAGTTGTCCTTGAACAAAAGAAAAAATCTTTGACAATTTTTGCAGATCTAGGATATTTTTGCATAGAGATATAGAAAGAGGGAGCAATACTGCTATTGGGGAAATGAATGTCAAACTAAGATTATATAGTTTGCAAGATACAGACTTTAACATTTATGAAGTTTCAGACACTATTAATATAAGATATATATATAGAAAGAGAGAGAAACTGCCATTGAAAAAAATATGATGTAAAACTCATTGAAAAAATATGATGTAAAATTGATATTATATAAGTTGTAACCCGCATAATTCAATAGACGTGATGTTAGACGCCACTAATAGAATGTTAAAAGTCACTTTAAAACATCAAAAGTCACTTTATTTTTTATTTTTATAAAATAACTTATTTACATGTATATAAATATTATAAATATAATCTCCTTTTATAAGGGAGATAATAATTGTCAATTAGAATTTGGTTGTCGCTTAACCATGCTGTAACGACCTTAAAATGATACTAATTATAAAAAAAATTCGGCAGAACCTCTGCTAAAAAAGGACCTACAACAACTTGCTTAGATGCATAAAAAAAATATGCAATAGCCTCACTCGGGCCTTTCAGACTTATCCAACCTGTCCCAACACATAATACAAAATATTATATTCCAGCATCCCTTTCCTTCATTCATTATGCCTTAACTTAGTTCATCCCACGGTGGAACAACCACATACCATTTCATCCAAATATCATAATTACAGTCCCAAAATACAAGGTTAAGATCAAATGTCCATGCTATATAACATTTAGACAACTTATATAAAAGTTACAATCCATAGATATAATTATAATAATAAGAGTTCATAAGTCTTCGTACAAAATACATTTTGTTAAGTTTTACAAAAAAAAATAGTGAGACTTACATACAAAAATAACAAAATGGTCATTTAATCCATGCTAGGCCTATGGTGGAACGTCATCCGCCACTTCTTTTTCGTGTACTGAAAAATATTAAATAATAGGGTTAGCAATTTGCTTAGTAGACGGTGCCTAAGACACACCTCTTGGAGCCCCGTGAATCCAAATATTGAATAGGGATAAATAATAGGGATCATTCTAAACCGGGAAAAACACGACATAAATTTCTCAAGTTCAAGACTAACAAATTTCCATGCCATGAATGCAATGCTATGTATGTCACTCCCCATTTTCAAATTCACTTCAAAAACTTCACTTTTCAAACCGTTAACATAACCTGTCCCTCGGTACTCCCTTGGCGACACTAGAGAATGATTGGCCACTATCCCTGACCCTTGGTAACTCGGCGGCGTCGTTTGGGGCCCAGTTAGCTCAACCACGCTAGGGCGATTTCCCTAGTTCTCTCTAGGTTACATTAACGCTACGGACTCTCGGTACCCCTTTGGCGTCCGGGTTTTTCACCAAAATCATTTTCTCAAATAGGTTTCCCAAAACCCCTTTTTAATTATTCATTTCAAAACATTTCCCTTCCTTCATTGCCCAATGACATTCATGTATGTCTCATGCCTACAACATTATGGAATAAAAGATTTTCATATAATACAATAAAACATTCTTTATCATAATTTCAAGGATGATCATATATGTTTGCATACATCACTTCTAGCAATTTAACAACACAATAAATATAGGAAATCAATACTTAGACATGCTTTTCATACAAATCAACATTTACACATAATCATGAACTTTATATACTACCATAAAATCATTCTAGGGTAATTAACATCAATTAATCATGCTAATAACAATTAATAGAAATTGACTCACAATGGAACAAGAAAAATGCGAATTAGAGACTCCTACCTCCAATTGGTTAAAAAGCCCTAATTTTCACCTCAAACCCTAGGATTTAAAGGCTCCCCAAATGGTGGCCAAATGGAGATTGGCTCCGATCAACTAGTAGATCTTGTCGTGGGTTTCAATTTGCCGTAAACGGCTTTTAAAAATACTAAGTATTGAAAAAGAAATCTAAGCTTGAAATTTTTATTGAAAAAGAAAAAGAAAAAGCAAAGTAAAGGGGTGAGAGAGAGAACTAGCAAGAGAGAGAAAAGAGAGAAGAGAAAATGAGGCAAAAATTGCCTCTTGATTCCTTTTGATAAAGGTGTGGGTCCCACCAAAATATTTTTTATCTTTTTCCTTTTTCTTTTACTTATTTTTTATCTTTTTCCTTTTTCTTTTACTTTTTAATTTACGCCACACAAATACAAATATTCACATATTAAATCACAACCATATACCACACATTAAATAAAATAAATATGATGCAAATGAACCCAA